TACAAACAACAGGTACTTATGGATCAGGGGGGGAGATGAGGGGAGGAGGGAGGCTCTGCTAAAAAATTATGAAGTCCCGACAACAAAAGTTTGTTATTATAAATGTAGTGTTATTCAAACAGTGATTCTGTACATATTACAAATAATGATCATGCACGTTAATGCTGCCATCAGTGCTGTGCACATTGCTTATATGTAAATGCTTGCCAGCTGATGTGGCACATAATGCTGCCATCAATGCTGTGCGCATTATTAAGTTAATGCTTGCCGGCTGATGTTGTGCATTTGAATGATGCTGCCATCAATGCTGTGAGCATAATAAATGCTTGCCAGCTGATGTTGCGCATCTTTTATTTATGATTGTTGTAACATGTGCATGTTCTCATTAACAAAAAAAATGTTGTTTGCACATTGGAAATTGTTTATGTACAGAGTGTTATTTTATATTATGCAGGTCATGAAAGTATCTTCACTGAGGATAGCATTTAGAAGCAATATTATATCTAAAATACCTGCATGCACACAAATGCATGATCGAAGCAGAAACATTGTAGATGCTACCATTATCTTTATGAGTTAGCATATCACATTCATATTTATACAGGTACTTATGTGGCACAGGGACTACAATGTTGTGTTATAGAGTGAGGTTTGACTTGTAATGAGACTCAAAAGGTGAAGGGAACATTCCTCTGTGTGAGCTGCTGCAAGATATCTTGTTAATGGTTTGTAATGTATGTTTGTAACAAACACATGGTATATCATGCATATACATGTTCATGTTTATCACTGTGAGTTGTACATGTAGTGGATTATTGGTGCATTCTTGTACTTGTAGTGTTTGATGATTATCATGAATGCAATTATATTTTCATGTAAAGGAAGTATAATGGAGTTAGAAGGAATCCAAAAGCAGATGTGATTGGTGTGATTATTGTTTGTACTATTGTTATTTATAGGAAGTGTGTTTGCATTGCTTGCTTTTTGTATGTTATGATATGCTTTACAGGTAATGACAGCTGGTAAGGATTTGATGATTGAGCAATAATTGGATGGAATGTGCAATATAACATTAACAATAGTTGTAACATTATTATGGCCCTGGAGTTATAGTTAGTATTAAAAATGTAATGTTGGATTTATAAATGTCATTTATTTTAGTAAGTTATAAATGACAGCACTGTGCATGTTTATGTATGTAATCAGTATGTCCATCATAATGATTATTAGGTAAGATTATTTTTTTTAAATCATGCATTACGATAGTGTGAATTTCTTTCCAGAAATATTGCAAGAAAGTAAAGGGATTAAGCATTATGTCTTATCAAACAATTGGCATTACTAATGTATTGTCATCCTGGCTTAACGCTGATGTATTTTTTATTGACAGTTTCATTATTTTGAGCATCTATTATAATAGTGAAGTAGATATAGCAAATAAAAGTTATAGTTCTTTGTTATGCCTTTGCCAGCTCTCCTTTGTAGATTGGTATACTATTACGGAATATAAAGATAACATTAAGTACATCATAGTAAAGACTTACAATTTGTCTTTTTACAGCCCTCAGTTGGGCTATTATCTGCTGCCTTTGCTGTTGAAGCAAAGGCAGTCCAGGGCTCCTCCAGGAGGGAGCACGGGTGCCACTTCAGAAGGGAACACTGGCAGGCCTCTATCTACTGGAGGTGGTGGGCCTCCAGCTCTTGGGATGGGGATCAGGAGTGCTGGAGGTGTTGGTGGTAATGGTGGTGGTGGTTGAGGCCTTCCATCTCCAGCTACTGGCAGTGTTGGAGGAGGATGAACTATATGCCCATCGCCAGCATTATCCATTTTATAATATGCTGCCAAAAAGAAGAAAATATATTAATAGCTAATTTGTGACCATAATTGACAAAAGGTACCTCATGGCGGATTTTTTAATGCATCATTATAATGAAAAATATCCACCTGTGAGTACTCTATTTGACAACCATTGTT